CAGGGAGGTCAGGCCACTTCTGCTGCAACAGCAGTGTCAGCCTGGAGCTGCCTGGGGAGTAGGGTGGAGACAGACAAAGAAGCTGCTCCTGGGGACGGAGGGGTGGGAACGGGGCACCCCTGGCCTGGAACTCTGAGGGGACCTGACAGCGTCTGCCGCTGTCGTGTGGAGGAGGGGCTGACCTGGCACCCCGTGTCTGAGCTGGAGGAATCAACTCTAGTCTGGGCTTCTCGGGCTTCTCCACTGAAAAAGAAGAGTGAAGGAACACTCCCCGCTGAGGGTTGGGACTCAGCTGCAAGCTCAGAGTCCCTGGAAGTCTCACATTTAACTTAAAATTAGTCGTGAATTTTACCTTCCACTATAGTGTTAGTTTTCATCTTAAAAAATTGAGACGTATTTATCTCTGAGTAATGTGAATCCTCTAGGGGGGCCCCTTTTTCATGCCTGTGGGTTGCATCTCCCTCCACTGCCAGATGCTGCTCAGGTCCTGCAGACCCCAGACTGAAAGCACTGTTTCAGAGAAAAACCCTGGAAACAAAGGAGGTACCCATCAATTTGGGAATGATTGAACCAGTTGAGGAGTGTCTGCACCACACGATAATATGGGGGATAAAAACTGTACTAGTTGTCTGGGGGGATTTCCAGTTTCCATGAGGTCACATGCATGGATTTCCATGAGCAAGATGCAGGAGACTGAATACAATGAAATTCTTATTTTGTAAATGAACAGGAACCTTCAAAGTTTAAGGGTGTCTGTGTACCCATATGTTTATAAATGGAGAAAATGTGGAAGGAAACAACTGATTGCTAACATGAGTTCCAAGAGAAGGTGAACTTGGGGAGGACAGAGAAGAGGGGAAGTAGAAATGGGGGAAGTGTTAAGCAAAAAGGGAACTGAAACAAAAACTTTCCTAATGAAGGCCGAATATCTCATCTATGACTTTATCAGAGAGTTTATGATTATGTATAAAGAAATTAAATAAAGAACTAATGGGAGATTAATAACAACTAGCCAATTATGAATTCAGGTGTAAGCTGTGAAAGCTCTCGTTGATTTTTTTTGTTCTAATATCCCAGCCACTATGTGAAGTTGCAGGGAATTACATGAAATAGTGGATTAGAGAGCATTTGTACACAGGATGTCTTGAATTAACAATGAGTTTTGCATTAGACCCCTCTAACTAGGTAACTTTGTGTCCACAGTAAATGTAGGCTTTCTCCACTTCTTCAATTTTATGGAGAAATGGAGAAATATTTGAAATTATATAGAGTTTTCTCCATAGGCCCTGAGGTTGTAAGATTATATAAGAAAGAGAGAGAAAGAGAGAGAGAGAGAGGGAGGGAGGGAGGAAGAATAAAAGGAGGAAGAGTCAGAAAAATGGACATTTTTTGATGATTTTTGAGTGTTTAATGTTATGTCATTTAAATGAATTTTAACTCTATCTTGTTTACTACCATGTCCTCCCCAGGCTTTATTTTCTTCTTCAGGATTAGATCTTTTGTAGATCAGAGAGCTCTTGCTGCCTTCCTTCTCTTTCTAAGTCTTCTTCCATCTTCCTCACAGGTGGTGCTCACCATCCAGCTTCTGGGGCAGATCCTTACCTGCAGCCTGAGGGCTGAGCCACCTCTCTGCCTAGTTCCCTCCTTTCTAGAAATTAGGGAGTCTGGCTGGGCTGCTATTTAACCCTCCCTTAGCCAGAAGTCCTTGTTCTGCTAACCCCTCTAGGTACTTGCTTCCCCTTTCCCAGGACAGGGAAGTTGGAGGATGAGACTCCAGGACCTGCTCAGATCCTGGAGCTCAGACAGCAGTGCTGGGAGGGAGGAGCCCTGGGGAGGGCAGGAAAAGGGTGGGAGAGCTGCTGGGAAGCTCCCTGCAGAGGAGAAGCACTGGACAGGAAGAGAGGAGACCCAGGGTCCAGGACTGGATCTGCCCTGTGTGACCCAGGACAAAATCACCCACCAGGGAACCTCCTCCTCTGTGTAAGAAGGGGCCTGGGCAGATCCCCTCTAAGGCCCCTCCCAGCTATGACATTCTGGGATTTGGTGCCTCCACCCAGACAGGACTCTCCTGTGGCTACTTCAGTGCCTCTGCTCTGTCTATTTATCCTATCCTGTCCTTACCTGTGGCCTGACAGGAACTGCCAGCTGGTGAGCCTGTTTAGGGCACCTTCAAAAAGAAGACCCCTGGCAGTCACTGTGGTCACTTCCTCAGCCCTCCAAGGATTGAGGGCATCCTCCTCTTCAAGCTTTCTCTTTGGGATCCAGCCTGGCCCTCTGTTTTCTCTGTCTCTGCTCCTGAGAGGCGTCTCCAGACCACCTGGAAGGACATCACCCCCTCACCACGGTGTGGGAACTTGGTCTGCAAACACTCCTCAGGAAAGCATGCTACAGCTGTGTGTTCAGAAGCAGCTGTGAAATTCAGACAGAGCTTTTCAGTTTCTGTCTGTTTAGCAGACAATACCAGCTTCTTTCTCTCTATTCCCCTGGTGCTGATCCCCTCTTACCCACACTGGGGGGAAATAGACAAACACTGTTTGGTCAGAATTACTGGTAAAAATCCCTTAGAAAGGGGCCACACTGGAGACTGAAATGCTGTCTCTCAGTAAGTCCATCTTCATGTTTCCCCATTGGAACAGGGCTGTTTCTTTGAGCCCCTGGTTAAACAGAGCACTTATGGTTAATGTCCATTGTTGCACCCCAAATTGCATATTTCAAATGAGATTAACTCTGAATGCCATGATTGACTGAAGTGTTACCGAATACTTTTATTACACTCATTATGAGGAAACCAGTAGGCTGTCAGAACTGATTCAAAGGAAGAGTCAGAGACCACGTCCATACAGGCCATTAGGAACGCTGGAATGAATTTAAGAACAGATGCCCTGTGTTTACAGAGTCTATGGCATTTGTGGCTACATAGAGAAAGGTCTGGATGGATCCAAGTCAATAACAGTGCTTACCTCTGGGAGGAGGCACTCTTCAAACTTTTACTTGAATCAACCCCATAATCCATATAATAGTTTTTTAGGAACACACAATACTTTTACAATTACAAAGCAACCCACTAAGGAAAGGGGAAAATGCCTACACCAAATAGTGTTGATAATATAAATTTTTTAAACCCATGCTTGGGATAACATGTAACCTATCCTTCCTCCAACTTTACCACTCTCCCCGGCAGCACAGATGTCCTCAGGTAGTTACTAACAAAGGAGTTGACAGTGGCTATGGAAGCCAGCTGCTGGGGACACAGCAATAAATTTCCTTCCAATTTCTGAGCTTTGGTAAACAAGAAGGCCCTCGCTGGACTTTGACTCCCTGTAGCCACCAATGGGATTGCACCCATGGGTGTCTGAGCCCATCCCTGTGCCCAAGAGGAGACCTCTGAGAGGGACAGCTGGTGGAGGGGAAAGGGCACCACCCTGGGACCTGGGAATGTCTGGTTCTGATCCCAGGTATGTTTACTCAGAAATAATCATCATCATAATGAAATGGAACACATTTCTGGAACAATTATTAAACACTGTGCTGGAACTTTTTATCATCTTTTATCTTCCACTATAATTCTATGAGGTAAACACTGTTATTATTTCCATTTCACAGAAGAGAAGGCTGAAGGCTGAGAGGTTGAATAATAGCTCAAGTCCACACAGCCAGAAAATGGAGGACCTCGCCTCAACTTAAGTCTTGCTGCCTCTAAAGTCCAAGCTTTAGCGCACTCCATTACACTAGATCACCCAGTCTGATACCTCAGTCCATTTCAATAAAAACACACTTTGAAGTGGGACTGAGAGGCTGTGAGGACACTGTGGGTTTCATGTGGTGCAGCTACAAGGTAGTGGAGCCTCCGCCAAGTGTGGTAGGCCCCCTCCCTCCCTCTCTCATGGGACGTGTGGTGTGGGATATGAACTCCCCTTGTTCTCAGCCCCTGAGGTATTGTAATTATTTGTTACCATGGTACAGCCTAGCCCATCCTGACTGCTACACTGCCTAGAAGGAGAGGGAAGGGAAAGCAGCCTTCATTACTGTATTAGTTATCTATTGCTGTGTAACCTGTTACTTGACAACTTGGTGCCTTAAAACAACACGGTGTACAGTATCACTCACAGCTTCTAAGGGTCAGGATCCAGGGGTGGTGTAGCTGGGTCCTCTGACTCAGAGTCTCTCAGACTGGAATCAAGGTCTTGGCTGGGGCTGCAGTCAGCTCAAGACTCAGTGGGGAAGAATCTGCTTCCAAGCTCACTCTTGTGATTGCTGATAGGATGCAGTTCCTGTGATTGTTCAACGGAGGGCCTCAGTTCCTCCCTGGCTGTTGGCCAGAGGCTGCCCTCAGTTCCTCGCCATGTGGCCTCTCCACAGGGCAGCTGACAACATGGCAGCTGGCTTCATCAGATGGAGGGAGAGAGAGAGTACAAGCAAGACGGGTTACAGTCTTGTATAACCTCCCATCACTAAGTGACATCCCATCACCTTTGCTCTATCCTATTCCTCAGACCAAGTCATTAGGTACAGACCACACTCCAGGTGAGGGGGTTACAAAGGGTGTAAACATGAGGAGGGAGGGATCTTTTGACCTACTTTGGAAGCTGCCTCCTACATATATGCACTTAGTATGTATTAGAAAATGTGCTGGTGCTTTTGATCCTTGATCTCATTTAATTCATACTATCATTGGACACAGGTAAGGAAACTGCAGGTTAGCATGTTTAAGTAACCCAGTCAAGGATATACTCCAGCAGAACCAGTACTGGATTCCAGAATTGCTTCAAATTCATTGTACTAGGCTGCTTTTCAAGAGTCAAGGGAGTATATTGGATGGATTTCATTAAAAACGTGGGTTCTGTGGTTCTCTCTTGACCACAAAACACTCATGGTTCCTGTTTCCAATGCCCTAGGCATGTGCAGCACTGGGGTCAAGAGTTCTGGCATACACGGTTCTGGAGGTCAGGATTCTGGAGTCCACGTTCCTCTGAAAAGGATCCGAGGAGGTTCGGTGTTGTTTCATGTGATCAAGGAGCCAGGAGTGGAGCTGGAGGAAATCTCATGGTCCTTTGGCCCTGGCTTAAAATACAGAGTCTTGCTGCGAGTCCATAACGGGTCAGAAGGGACTCCAACCTGGGTCAACCTCCAGGACAAGTACAAGCAGAGGGTCCATGTGCCCAACATGATGTCCCTGAGGATTGAGAACTTGACCCCTGAGGATAGTGGGTACTACCGGGCTCGAGCCAGCTTCACTGGTGGAGTGGAATCTACCCAGATTTTCCACCTCACTGTCAATGGTACGTGACACCCCTCACCTCAATCCCATGGCTACGTCCTTCTTTTGTACCCAGGAGTGTCACTTGGGCCCCATTTTCAGGATTCATTCCAGATGCCAGCCTTCAGGCTCTATTTTCTCTCTTGAAATTAGGATAAATGGCTTTACCACAAATGAAGAGCAGAGCTGAGATTCACACGAGGGATAAAATCACTTCAGTTTTTTGGGAGAGGAAAATGGAATTTGGGGGAAATGGAATTTTTGCCATAACACTTCTTCTTTAGAGCATTAAATTGACTTAATTTGTGTATTAGTTTTCTATTGCTGCTATAACAAATTACAGTAGGCCCCCCTTATCCACAAGGATACGTTCCAAGACCCCTGAAACCGAGGATAGTATCAAACCCTACATATGCTATGTTTTTCCTATGCATACATACCTGTGGTAAATTTTAATTTGTAAGTTAGGTACAGTAAGAGGAAAACTATAACTAATAATAAAATAGAACAAAAAATAACAATATACTCTAATAAAATTTACCGTAGATTTTAGCAATCTCAGCATACAATTGTTTTCTTTCCTAATTAAGTCAAGAACCTTCACCTTTTCACTTAAAGAAAGCACTTTACAGCTTCTCTTTGGCATATCCCAGCATCACTACTCCTACTCTTTGGGGTCCTTATTAAGTAAAATAATAAAATAACGGTTACCTGAACACAAGCACTGTGATCACACCACGGTAGATCTGATAATCCAACTGGCTACTAAGTGAGTAATGGGTGGGTAGTGTATACAGTGTGGATACACTGGACAAAGGGATGATTCATGTCCCAGGTGGGATGGAGTGGGATGATGCGAGATTCAACACACTACTCAGAACAGTATGCGATTTAAAACATGACTTATTTATTTCTGGAATTTTCCATTTAATATTTTCAGACCATTGTTGACCATGTGTAACTGAAACCACAGAAAGTGAAACTGTGGATGAGGAGGGACCACTGTACTACAAATTACCAGCTTAACTCAACACAAATTTATGATCTTACTGTGCTGTAGGGCAGAAGTCAGACACAGGTCTCACTGGGCTAAAATCAAGGTGTTGGCAGGGCCGGGTTCCTTTCTTGAGGAGCCAGGGGGAGAAATATTTTCTTGCCTCTTCCACCTTCTAGTGGCTGCCTGCAACCCTAGCACTCGGCCACCTTGCTCTGTCTTCACAGCCAGCAATGGTGGCACGAGTCCTCCTCACAGTGCAGCCCTCTGAACTCCTCTCCTTCCTTCTTCCACTTTTATGGACCCTTGTGATTACATTGGTCCCCTCCAGATAATCCAGAATAATCTTGCTATTTTAATGTCAGCTGTTTAGCAATCTTAATTCTATCTATTACCTCAATTCCCCTTTGCCATTAATCTAACATATTCACAGGTTCTGAGGATTAGGATGCAGACATCCTTGGCGGGGGGCACTATTCTGCCTGCTCTAATTGAGAAATCACGTATAGTTCGTCATCCCTGTCTCCTCTGCTCTTACTCAGCCCTGGCCTGAGGGAAGCATCACACACAAAATCCAGACTGAAGAGCCTCCATAGATATAGGAGAAAGTTTACCCTGCCACCCATCTTCAGAACCTCATTTAGCAACCCTTTCCTTCCCTACAGTTCCTCTGCATAGAGAAACACCCTGCTACCGAGAGAGTGGCTTTGACAGCTTTAGGTCCCCATGGGATTTCTATGACTGGCTTGTAAATCTGTCAGTTCTCTTCCTCTCTTTACCACAAGTCCAGTGGCATGTTCTAACCACACTCAGGGTTGTCATTCCCGCTACCTCTGCATTTCCCACAAGTGTCTCCACTTTTGGGCACATGGGTTCTTTCTCTGGACTCCCAGAGCTGGCTGGATGTCCCTCTTCACCATTGGCTGTGTAGTCCCAGGCATCATCTCGGCAGGAGAAGCAGGGTGACGGTGGTGGACCAGGATAAGTCCTTCATTCCTGGCTTCTTCTCCCTCTAGGAAAGACCCAATTTCTAAACATATTGGGCCTTGGGTAGGTGGAGTGCAGCCTCTATTTTCTTGTGGGAGATTTTTAAGACTTGCTCAGTTTAGTGACATCAGGTAAGGCTTAATTCTGTGCCCCCCATCCTTCTTGTCTCTTGCTATATATTTAACGTTGGGATAATTCTATTTCGTCTATAAAATGTCGCACTTTCCATAGAGGGAGGTAGCCAGAGCTTCAGGGAGATAATGGATGAGAATGCGCAGACTGTAATGTTCTGCACTCACGTGAGGCTCCATTCTCTTGTCCCTCCCACCCCAGAGCCCGTGCCCCATCCCCAGATCCTGGTCCGGTCACTGTCCATCACAGCAGGCTGGTGCAATGTCACCCTGGAGTGCAGGGCTGTGCAGGTCACAGAGGACCTGAATGTGACCTGGGAGAGCAAGGGCCTTCCCAGGGAGCTGGAATGGAGAGAGACACTGGGACCAGCGCCCAACTCCTGGACCCTGACTGTGAGCCTGCCTTTGAACCAGCCCAATGCCAGCCTCACCTGTGTGGTCAGCAACGCCGAGGACCAGAAAACTGTCACTTCAGCCCTTGGGGAGGTCTGTGCCCATGGTGAGTGTAACCTGCCAGAGGGGAGGGGCGCTTTCGGAGCTCAGGGAGCGCTGGGGTCTGAGGACTCTGGGCTTTTCTCCCCACTGTGTTCATCAGCACCACCTCCACCTGGTCACCCCACACAGCAGTCTGGGAGGCACATCCAGCTTGTCTCTGCTTTTAAATGTCTCTCACATCTCAGCCTCTCACCTCGTGCCCCTGCTGGTAGGCAGCAGCTGTCAAGTCCCGCTCCCCGCCCCACTCATCACCCACAGTGAGTCCAGAGTGGTCTTTTGGAAAAGAAGTTGGATTGTGTCATTTGTCCTTGTCACCTGTAGGATTTGATCTCCAGTGACTCCTTGTAGAATTCAGGGCTAAGACCCTCCTCTGCCCATGGTTTTGGCCTCAGTGACACACTTTACATCACACTGCTTGCTTGGAGTTCCCGAATATGTTCTGTTATTGCCAAATTTGAGCCTCTGGATATGCTGTTTCCTCTCCCATTATTCCTCCCACCTTTTGCCTTCATTTCTTGCCTTATTCTTATTGAAGGGCTTCCTTCAGGGACAGCTGACTTCAGTAACATGTGACTCATGTGGTCACACAGGGCCCCATGCTGGATGTAAACCTCTGCAGTGGCCATCTTGACATAACTAACAATTTTTGAGCAAAGGACTCCTCATTCTCATTTTGCACAGGGCCCTGCAGGGGCTGTAGCCGTCCTGCCCTCAGGCATCACCTTTAAGGAGGGTCCCTGGCAGCTCACTAAGTGGCAACGCTCTGTTTCTGTACTTGTCTCTTCCCTAGCCTGGAACACCTTGAGGGCAGGGGCCATGTCTTGTTCTCCTTTGAATCCGTGTGCCAAGCACAGCATCTGGAACAGTTTGTTCACAGTGTTTCGATGATTGAATGAGTGACCTGGTACCCCCGTGTGCAGCCTCGCCCCCTAATCTATCCTCCATGAGCTGCTGGAGGGACCTGCTGTGTCAGCATCACATAAAACCCCCTGTTACCCTCCCCTTACCCCCCGTACTGGAGCCTCAGACAGAGTTCAACACTCAGTGTGATGCACGAGACCCTCTAAAGACAGCTCCAGCCACCCTTTGACCTTCCTTGCCCCCCTCCTTCCTGCCCTTTCCCTCTCCTGCCTGCTGCAGTGGAGTGTTGGCAACTCCTAGGCACTGGCTTTTGGACACAGCCATTTCTTCAACTTGGTACTCCTCCCTCCTGGAATGCCCTGCCCACCCTGAATATCTGGTAAAGTCCTATTTCTTCTTCAAGACTCAGGTTACCCATCACCTCCTATGGGAGGCCCTCCCTGAAAACCCGTGTACAAGGTGTAAACCTCTATTGCACAGAAATCTTTCTGGCTGGCACACTTTGTTGTTTTCTCAGTCTTCCCTGCTGAGTGATGAGCTCCCAGGGTGTGGACCAAGTCTTGTTCATCTCAATATCCTGTCATCAAGCAGGAGCTCGGGCACTGGGGAAATGAATGACCCTCCATGGTCCTTCCTCTTCAGCTTCTGAACCAGGAATCTTCAGACTTCTCCCCCTGCTCTCTCTATCTCTCCTGGCACTGGGTATCTCAAGTTCTCTCTTACCTTAACCTTCTTCACTCTCTCCGTGTGAGGGAAACAGTTTCAGGTGAACACGGCTCGGCAGGCACCCTGGAAGCCATACTAGGGGCCCTCGTGGCCGTGCTGTTGATCCTCGGGGTTGGACTGTACCTTTGGAAGACACATGAGAAGAAGAAGAAGATGGAGATTGGAGGAGGCAGGTTGCACTTTCCTTTCTGGCTCAATTACCTCCCCTCCCCCACTGGGCCCTTGGCTCCCTTTCTCCTGCAATTTGCTGCTCAGTGAATGTCCTTGTGGAAGGGATGGTGTGTAGACATGTCCTTGGGGTTCACAGCAGTGGGAGAGGGTACAGGTTTCCCAGGCCCAGATTCAAGGTCCACTCTGTGTATGACTCAGGTGCAGAATTGCAAGAGGAACACAGGAACCAGGATGGTGACATCCGGTTTGCTGAGCTGAGCCAGCAGGAGTCTCGAGGGCGCAGGGACAAGGTGAGAGCTGGGATCAGTGTCCAACTGGGCTCTCCCAGGTCCCTCTGTGCCTGGGTCTGGGCATTTCTAGCCCTGCTGTCTCTGGCCCTTTCTAGTCTCTCCGGATAGTCACTGGTATTTACTAAGAAACTTTACAACTGGGGCCAGTATAGTGCAGGGCACTTAGGGGGAATTCACGTGCAGTTCCTGTCAGCAGCATTGGTTCCATCTGGGTCCCTCTGGGGCCTCTCTATCCCTCAGCTGTTCTAGGAACCCTCTGTCTTGCATTCCTAGGGTATGAGTGAACGACATCTAGAACAAAAGGAGCCTCTCACTACTGTCTACAGTGCGGTCCAGAGGCCAGGCCTGGCCATGAAGATGATTTAATTGCAGAAAGCAGGAGAATGGACATTCCTAGGACACCTTCTCTCTGAGCTTGATGCCTGCAGACACCCGCCTCTTCCAGCTCTGGTCCAGCTCCAGCTGTCCCTGGTCTGCATTACTCTGACCTTCGTGTCCTCAACTCCCCGGGCACATGTGGCCCTGTCACTTCCTCTGACACTTCCCCAAGCTGCCATCCCTCTCACGACCTTCCTGCAGGATGAGTGCTCTTCCTCTGTTGTTCACTCAGCTCCTGACCCCTCTACTCCTGAAGATTCTGAAAGGGGACCCTCCTGACTGTGCATGTGTTAACCCCCACAGCCTCTGCTGTGTTGCTGGTGTGTGTTTTTCTGAGAACACGAGCCCAGGGTGGGGACCGTGTAGAGGTGTTGACCATGCCACAAAGGCAAGAGTGAGGCCCTTGGTGCAGGATGCTGAGTTTGGGATTAATGGAGGCAGCATGGGTGGTTGGGAGCCCACAAAGGGACTGGCCAGAGGCTTCCTTTGCACCTTGTGTAAGGCTCCTTTGGGAGGTGTTGGGTATTATGTGTGTGTGTGTGTGTGTGTGTGTGTGTGTGTTGGGGAGAGTCTCTAGTGCACATTATATACTGGCCAGAGCCCTTGTTCTTGGCCACCTGTGCTAACCTGGACCTCAGCCTCAGCGTCAGCCCATGGGTCCCATACCCACCTTCCTGTGGAGTGGGAAGAGGAATCTGTATTATTTAAGGCCCTTTGAAGTCTTCTGTTTCTCAGAGAATGACCCCAGAGACTCAAAGTTAGGAGTTGCATTCTTAAAAAAACAGCTTCAGCTCTTCCCCTGTCTTGGATAGGGGCGGTTATCTAACTGGGTGGTTAGAGTGGATGTGCAGTGTCCTCCCACCCACCTTGGTGAGGCTGCTGTGGGGTGTGAGGGGTAAAGCTTGTGAGAGAAGGTCTGAATCAGCCCTCACCGGGCTTTTCTGGTGACCATCAGCACCCCACAACCATGCTGGCCTCAGGCCGTAGGTTACCTCTTCTTTGTTCACTCACATCCGTCTGTCTAGAATGACAGTTCCCTCTCTCTGTTCCTTGCTGCCATCCCTGCCTGTTGAAATACTACCATCCTGTCTAAAGCCTCCTTCCAAGTCACGTGTTACATGGATCCCATCTGGTTCCCAAAGGTTTGGAAATGGTCTCTCCAACATCTGATTTTTTCCAATGTCTTGTACATAACTAAGGCCACTGCCACAGTCTGCCCTGGATTAGTTATGAGTCTTCCATACAGGACTAACCTGGGGTTCCCTCAGGAGGGTGTTGAGGCTGTAGGAGGCCAGGACCAAGAAGACAAGCACCTCTCTCTGTGAAGATTCTTGGCCACCCTTCCTCCCACAGGGGCTCAGCAGACTGAGACCAAGAGCACAGAGGCTGCTGAAGGTCTTTCCGGTGGTGGGTCCACGGGGAATCAAGGATGGACATGATGATCTCCCATGACCCTGCCGATGACCTCTCATGACTCTCCCTGACCCAGAGATATGAGGTGGGAACTTCCCCACCCCACCTCCAGCCCCACATTGCCTGAGGACCTGATGCAGCCTGCACTGTGGTGTGTGGGAGCTTCTCCCTCTACGAGGCTCCTCACCTCCTTAAAGCCTCTGCCTGCTGCCTTGTATCCCAGCTCTTGGGTCAGAGGTGGTCTCCCTGGTACTATGACCTGTGGTACCTTGTCTCCTGGCCTATATTCCTGGTTTCTTGGTTCTCTTCCCAGCTGAGCGCAGCTCAGCAGCTTCATCCCTGAGCTCAGAAAGCAAAGTTCTGAGTAAAGGCTTAAGCATTAGGAAGCAATGCTAGGGGCCTGCTGGACGGTAGATGGATAAGGGAGAAGTACGGAGATCCATAATAGGGATGTTTCTGACCTCTTTTCCCTCAGGCTGAGTAGAAAGCTGAGAGAGAAAAAGATGACATCTTCTCACTGGCATCGCAGGCGACCGGTCATGGTTGGGTGTCAATGCCCCTGAGCCTGGGAGCAGTGACCACCCATTGACCCTTCCCATCCCACCTAAAGCAAGGAGTTAAAAAAAAAAAGGGGGAACTGGGCTTTCCAAGCCTGTAATGAACCTGGTTTTGTCCTTTGTTATTAGTGCCACTAAGCCGACTCTGACCCTTAGAGACCTTGTGTATGGCAGACCGGATCCCTGCTTGGTGTTTTTGTACCATCATCTCATCTTGTGGCGCTGTATCAGGTAATGCTCCACTGTTATTTATAGGACTTTCACGGCCATTTGTTTTCAGGAGTGGGTGGCCACGTCCTTATGCCTAGTCTGGAAGACCTGTGGAAACTTGCCCAACATGGGCAACCCTGTTGGAATTTGAAATACCAGTGACATAGCTTTCAGCATCACAACAACACGCAGCCGCCACAGTATGACAACTGACAGATGGATGGTGTGGTTCCCTGACTGGAAAACAAACCCAAGCTGGGACGGTGAGAGCGCTGAATCTTAACCACTAGGCCACCAGGGCTGGCATTTTTGTCCTAGGCATTTTGCAAATATTATTTCTTCTAATTATTTCAAGAACACTCTAGGGTACGTATTATTAACCCCATTTTGCACGACAACTAACCAAGGTCTCAAACTGGTTGGTAGCAGAGCTAAATCCAACACTGGATGATTCTAGCATTCACATCTTACACTTTACCACATGGTCATTGAAGAACTTGGAATCCCAGAATATTCCAATGGGAATATCCTCTATTTGTTCTTCTCCTGGATCCTGGTCTTCTAACTCAGGTGCCCCAACTTGGAAGCTCATAATATACGTTTCTCATTTAGAGCTTTAACAATTCTATGGGACAGAAACCCCATTGTACAGATGGAAAAATAAAATCCAGAGATGTTAAAGACCTCGCACAAGTTCTCCTGAGCTGAAGTGAGGTAGGCATGATTTGGGTCCACAAGAGATCATAATTTCACTCATTTTGCCTGCTTCTCCCTCATCCCAGACATCCAACCACTTACCATCTTCCGTTGGTTTATCCTTCATAATGCTTCTTGTATTCCATCCTCCTCTCCTTCGTTTATTCCTATCTTTCACCTGCAGCTGCACCATTTTCACATTTCCGCCAGCATTGTATGAGATTTCTCCACATCCTCTCCAACTCTTTATATTTTTGTGAGGAAGATTTGCCCTAAGTTAACATCTGTTGCCAATCTCCCTCTTTTTTTCTTGAGGAAGATTAGCCCTGAGCTAACATCTACGCCCTTCCTCCTGTACATTGCATGTGGGACGCCACCACAGCATGGCTGATGAGTGGTGTAAGTCAGCACCCGGTGTCTGAACCTGCGAACCCATGCTGCTGAAGCGGAGCATGGTGATGTTTAACCACTCAGCCATGGGGCCAGCCTGCTTATTATTTTTTGATTTTATCCATTCTAGTGTGCATGAAGTTGTATCTCATTGTGGTTACGAATTATATTTCTTTAATGATTGATGATGTTGAATGTCTTTTCAGGTGCCCATTGAACATTTGTATAACTTATTTGAAGAAATCTCTTTCTCGAATTTTCTCTTGTCGTGCATTGCCCCCACCACTCCACTGAATCTGCTCTTATCTGGGTCATCAGGAAACTCCATCTTGCCAAATTCAGTGGTCAATTCTCAGTTCTCCTCTCCCGTGACCTCTCAGCTGCAACAGACCTATACTTCCTATACCAGGTGAAACACTGTCTTCACCTTGCATTCCCCACTCACCATTCTTTCCCTCCTACTCAGTGGTTGCTCCTTAGTTTCTTTCCCATATCTCCAACATCTAAGTATTGGAATATCCCAGGGTTCATACCCAGACCACTTCTCTGAGACTACACTCATTCTCTTCTGTTGTTATGGCAGTGCACTAATCCCCAGAACCTGTGACTATATGACCTTACATGGCAAAAGGGATTTATAGATGTGATCCATCCCCTGGATTCCACATTATAAATTTCTGGCTGTTTACTTGACATCTCCACTTGCATATATAACAAGCATCTCCAGCTGGACATATCTAAATTCAGACTCCCCAAACATACTGCCCATATAGTTTCCCAGCCCAAAAAATGTCATCTCAATCCTTCCATTTGTTCTGGCCACAAAACCTTGGTTTCATCCTTGACTTCATTCTTTTTGTCATACTCCACACTCGGTCAGCAAATAGTGATGTTTTTTCATTCAATATATGTTCATATATTTATTTTCATATATATATATATTCATAACCTCTCACCACCTCCCTGGTCCAATAGGACCATCATTTCTCACCTGGATTATCACAGTAACCTCAGTCTCCCTACTTTTGTCTTAATCTCTTAATGTTTATTTTCAAAATGTCATTCAGAGTGATCTTTTCAAAACCTAAGTTGCATCACATTACTCCTTAGCTCAGACTCCCCCATGGGTCCACTTTATCTGCAAGACCCTGTACCATCTGCCCTTATCTCTCGTGCTCCCCTCCTCCCTCAGTTCACTCTAGGACACTGGGCTTTTTGCCTTTCCTTCAATACACCATGCATGCTCCTGCCTCAGGGCCTTTGCTCTGCCTAGAATTCTCTTCCTCCAGGTATCTGCACGTCTCATTTCCTGACATCATTCAGGTCTTTGTACAAACGTTATCTTCTCAATAAGGTCTATCCTGACCTCCCTACTTACAGCTGCATACTCCTCCAGGTGCCATCCTCCCTCTTCTGTGCTCTACTTTTCTTCATAGTACTTCAAAATGTTGTGAGTTAGGGTGCATTTAATCTGGACTGTAGATTAAAGACAAGTGGAAATTGAGGCCTCAGAGTGTAAACTGCAAATCCTATTATGCAAGTACCATTATTATTCCCAGGAAACTGCAACACTGATAAGGTAATGAACTTGCTCCAGGTCACAGAACTAATAAGTGGCAGAGCTGGGATGAAATTTTGGAGTCAGATTCTAAAACCCACAGCCTTGACAACTATATACTGGTTAAATAAAGTATAGTTCATCCGCATGATGGAATACTATAG